AAATGGTCATTGCATGAGATAGTCCGCAGACCGAATTGCTGATGCACTGCAGGAATAACCTGCCTTTTTGGTGTGGTTTAGAGAGCAGTTGCCTTTAAACTGAGGGCGCGAAAGAAACAAAAGAAAGGCATTTTGTGAATATGCATCCGCATATTGATGTCCACCCAGGTTCTTCAGCAGCATGAAAGTCACGCTCGCCTTTTCTGGTGCCACTCTGGCACAAACCGCCCTTTCAAGCTGGGAGGGTCGACGTCACTGACGCCATGAGCCTTGGCTGCGCAAGCCGCGAGAAAAGACGCGGCCGATCACCTCGATCCCTGTTTTGAGTTGGAGCACACTTTGTGCGGTGCTTCAAGTTGGTTGCTACCTTCAAATTGGTAGCGGAGCCTACGGGCTCGAGCTCCAAACGCTACCTGCGCCGACACTTCGAGATCGCCTCCTTCGATTACAAGATCGATGGCTACATCCTCGACGAGCACGACAGATGGGTCCCTCAGTTCTCCAACAGGCCTGCCGACTACTGTGAATGGCGGGCAAGGATCCACCTGTACCAGAAGAAGATGGTGATTCAGAAAAAGCCCTTGGAAGGTGTGATCAACATCGTCACCAACCTCACCGGCATCGCTTGGAAGCAGATCGAACCGATCGCTGAATCCATCAGCGATGACAAGGACAAAGGCTTCGACCGACTCATCGAGGCCCTGGACCGTACGTTCAAGTACGATGAACGAGTGGAACAACCACGAGCCTTCGAGAAGTTCTTCTACTCCCTCAGCCGACGAGGAGAACAAACGTTGATGTCCTACTGCACGGAGCACCGTGAGTGCTTGAGAGAAGTGGAGAAGCACAACATCCGCATGCCAAAAGAACCTGTTCGGCCAGGACTACCGTGGCAGAGTTGGCTACAGCCATCTTCAAAGGCCCACTGGCCGTGGAAAAGGGAACAGCCGCTGGAAGAAACCTCAGACAGCATACACTGCCTATGACCTCCAGGAAAACTATGACGACCTGACTGAGGAGCTCTATGAGGCAGTCGATGACGACTACGAGCCCTATGAGGATGAAGAGTATGAGGGTGCCTACTATGAGGATGACCCCATGGAAGAACAAAGCCTCTATGCAGCTCAAGAAGATGACCTACCAGACATGGACGACCCCGAGTGGGAAGAGTGCTATGCCACGTACCTGGACGCCAGGCGACGTTTCGCCAAGCTCAAGACAAATCGTGGCTTCTACCCTGTCGTCGCCTTGACAGACACCAATGCAGCCCACGGCACCAGCTTCCAGCGACCCGTTCCGCCCAAGTCCAAAGGAAAAGGGTCAAAGAGTAAGAGCAAGCCTCCACCACGGAAAGGTGATGCCAAAAGCCGTGGCAAAGCCGCCACCGCTTCGATGGCCAAGGCCGGAACATGCCTCCGATGTGGCCAACCCGGTCACTATGCCGCCCAGTGTCCACAGAGGGCAAAACGCAGTACGACTACGACGACCACCAGCTCTTCGAAGAAGACCAAAGGTGAAACGGCAATGATGGTTTCCATCGAGATGAAGGACCTCACAGCCAAACCAACTGGACTACATGGCACCTTGGACGGTGGAGCAAGTTGCATGGTTCTCGAACACGAGACCCTCATGCACTACATCGAGCACTACCACACTACCACTTCCGCCCGGCATCCAAGACACTTCAGTTCGGGGGAGACAGAACCCTGGACGCTCACCCTGATCTTCCAAGAAGCTTGGTTTCTGAGCTGGCAGCCAGATTTCAAATCAGAAGCTTGAAAACTGAGCTGCTTCACAGCCCAAAATTGAGCTGGCAGCTTGTTTTTTAGGAAAGCAGCTCGAAAACTGAGCTGCTGCCACCTGTGAGAGCAGCTCAGTTTTCAAGCTGCTGAATCAAAAATTGAGCTTCCAATGGTTTTTGTTATAAACCATGAGAAGCTCATTTTGGAAGCTCAAAAACGGAGCTTCTTGGAAGCTCAATTTTTGAGCTGCCAAAATTGAGCTTCTGATGTTTTGCAGTAAACATTGTGCGAGAGGTTTGTGAAAAGCATGGTTTGCTGGGCAAAGGTTGCGCCAATGGTTGTTGCCTTCTGCAGGCAAGCTGCGTGAAAAGCATGCTTGGGTGGCCATTGATTGTGCCAATGGTTGGTGCCTTCTGCAGGCAAGCTTTGCGAAAAGCATACTTGGGTGGGTGGCTTTTGCAGGCAAGCTACAATTCACTTGGAAAGGCTGGAAAGGGAGTTGTGCACATCCACCTGTCAAGCACCTCAAAAGAACTGTGCCCAGGATTGTCTTTGCCACCCCTCCTAGTCCACAGCTTTGCTAAAATTCCTCCCATGGTTTCATCTTTGTAGCACCAAAAATCTTTCACTGGGAGCCCCATTTCACACAAGTGCAAGAAAAGGTGCAGCTTAGGCATGATATGCCAAGATTTTGTGTCAGCTGGGTCAATTTGGAGAGCTTCTTTTTCCAATTCGATGTATTGTTGGGCCACTTTCTGGCCAGCCCTTGGCAAGACAGTGGTGTCATGACACTCCATGGCTGCATATGCTTTTGCCAGAAACCTGGCAAGCTTTGGGACAGCAAGCTGATGAGGCTTTCTGCCATCCAAGTGCTTGTTTGCTAAAATTGGAAGCAAAGGAACCAAGTGTCTCACTTGAGCTGCTGGCCCCTTCAGGGTTGGAGGGCCAACTGGCTTTTTCCCTTTGTTCAAAATCTCTGGGGTGATGGTGGCAAACCTGTATTCCACATTCAAAGTCTTGTAATGTTGCAGAATTTCACCCCACAGACAAGACACCCTCTCTCTGAAGCTGTTGCCTGGCAAGGCCTGGGCTACTTCACATAGCACTTGCCCTGCAATGTCAGAGCCAATGCCCTGGTCACAGGCATGAAGCCAATCGACACACACAATGTTCGAAGGCCAATTCTCTGGCCACTCCCAAAAGGGAGACAGCTTTTTGCCCGCCCCCCTCAAAAGGTGGAGGAATGTTGCCCTACTCTTTTGGGTTTTTCTCTCCTCAGGGCTTTGTGACCTGAATGAATGAAAATTTGCACCGCGTAGCCAGCACATCCCACTTTTAGTGTTCCATGTGGGCATTTGCAGCCATTGGTTCAACCAATCCCAATCTCCCCTAACTTCTGCCAAAATGCCTTTTGCAGGCAAGTCCCCTTGCAGCTTTGCCCTTTCTTTGTCTGATGCAATCCAAGCAGAACCATCATGTCGACATTCTGGGAATTTGCCATTCTTCAGGCAAGATGCAGACCACATCAAGATTCTCCAGATTTCATCTTTAGTTTCTTGCTGAACATATTTTGTTTGAATGGTTGTGAATGGCACCCGGTCAGTCCATGAATGTGCCAAGAACAGGCACAGCATCCCCATGCACACCAAAAGGAATGATGCCTGTAACAGGCAAGTTCAAAAAGGCGCACACATTTTGCAAGGCATCCAAAACCTTTGACCCTTGCTTAGGCCTGCAAGCATCCAAAGCACCAGGGATTTGCCAGAGCCTGGCAAGCCATTCATGTGGCAAAAGGAATGGGTGCCATGCATAAAATGTTTTGTTGTCCTTTGGGTTTTTCATTGGTATCTTGGCCCAAAATAAACTGGGGGCCAGTCGTGGCCTTTGGAAACCTTTTTCCTGAGCCTCCTCATGGTTCTGGCAGCATTGGAATCCTTTCCCCTCTTGCCTTTCAATTTGAATGTTGTTTTTGCACCTGCTTTGAATCCCTTTTCAACGTTGACTTTGGCAACAGAAGCAGGCAACTCATTTCTTGTTGCAGGTTGACACTAAAGTCGCCCCAATCCTCAGAGGAATCTTTCCTTTTTCTTTTGGAGCTTGAGCTGGGGCCAGACAATGCCTTCTGCAGGCAAGCAAGGTGCAACACAAACCAAAAGAACACAGTCACAGGCCTCATGTTGGCTTGAACCAAAAGAGCTGCAGAATGAAGCATTGACTGAGCAACAGCAAACCCCAACATGCCTCAGACCCAAGAACTCTGCCAAATCACTTTCACCCTTCTCTGCAGCCCCTTTTGACCATGCAGGCTCGTGTCCATGGCCATTGCCATCGAAGAAGGTGTGAACCTTTTGCCTTGTACAGGCAAGCCTCTTGGAAAGGCAAGATCAGCTGGAAGGGTTGTGTGCCCACTTCTTGATGGGAGCCAATTGCTTCTTGACCTCTTTATGGGCAGCAGCAATGGTTTGCTGAAGCTGTGCCAACGCATTGACTTTTCCTTCCAAATTGTCTGGTGGCAGGTCACTTCCTTTTACAGGAAAGCCTAAAAAGGCATGTACATGTTTCTTCTTGCTCTCCTCCAGCTTGGTCTGAAGCTTGCGCACCTGCTCCAAGTAAGCGGCCTTGAGCTTCTTGTGCTCATTGTCGACAATTGCTTCCAACTGGGCTTTGAGCATCTCCATCGCACTGATCTCAGCAGTCAAGCTGGTGATGGCTGCCTTTGCTTTCTTCAAATTAGACTTGTACAGTTCCTCATGAGAAGGTGGTGTGGGCTCTTCTTTGTCAGATTCCTCCTCTTTAGGCTCGCCATCCTCAGCCTTCCTACCCCCATTGATCATCTTGGTCTGGGGGCCTCCAGACAAGGCCAGCCTCATGGCATTGAAATCATGCTCTTCCACATTGTCGACACCCTCTCGGAGCTTCAGGCCTTTCTTTTCTGTCTTGACCATCTCAAAGCTTTTGATGGTGTACCGGTACTGCTTCACATCCAAAGCAGCCAAAGCAGGGTCTTCATGAGGCCTTTCCTTCAGGCCAGCCACACTGGCATCACATAACTCCACAAACCGAGGGTTTGAGGACAGGATCCCCTTGCTTTCTGCCACTTGTTCCTTTGTATACCATCCCGGCTTCTCTGTGGACTTTCTGGTCTGCATGTCCTTATCAAGTTTCTGGACTCCTTTGGAACTGACTGAAGGGTCGAGGGAGTAGGTGTTGTAAAAAAAATCACGCTTTTCTTGTTGGGTTTTGCACTTCTTGTACATATCTGGCAAAAAACTTTCACCCTTCTCTGCCAGCCTTTTGAGCTTTTTAGCCATTGCCACCGCGTCAGGTTTTGGTATGGGTGGCAAAGGCTCACTCTTGACTTTGGCCCTTGCAGCCACACCAGGCTCAGCCTTCACCAGGCTAACCTCTCCAGGCATGGAAGGAGGAGTCTCTGGAGCCTTTGGTTTAGGGGACTTCCCTGCACTAGGTCTTTTCATGCCTTGCGTCGCTTGAGCCAAAAAATGCTGACTAGAGTCAAAAAAGTTATTATAGCCTTGAAAGTTTCCAAAGTTTCCCTGGAAAGTTTCCCCTTATTACTTTAAAAGGCAACATCTAAAAGTTTCCCCTAGGAAAGTTTGCCCTGGAAACTTTTCTAATCTAAAAACCTTATACTTGATTTAGCAAAAATATGTGTATAGCTATAGATAGGTATATATTTATTTATGTATTTATTTGTTTCGCACTCATATTTTTTTATTGAATCTCAGGCCAGGTTTTACTGGGCAGGAGGGAAGCTTGTGCTTCGTTGGTGCCTTCTCCAGGCAAGCCTTTACAGGCATTTTGTTGAGGGCCTTGCGACCTACTGGTCTGACCAATCTACAAAGTTGAGGCTCTCCACTGTCGAGGTTTCAAAAGGGTCGTCTTGCACATGCCAATGGCCACCAGCTGAGAAGCCACTCTGCTGAGATGCAGCCATGTCCTGCCATGGACCACCTGCACTGTTTTCAACACTGCCTTCTCCAGGCAAGCCAGCATCTGGCATGGGGGCATCAGTCCCTACATTTTGCCATGGGCCTCCAGCACTCATTGCACCATTGCCTTCTCCAGGCAAGCCAGCATCTGGCATAGTGGGCTCAGCTGGTGCCTCAGAAGGTGGAGCTGGAGCCTCAGCTGGAGATTCCTGTTCTTCCTTGAACTCATTTATGGTTGTCTGGATGAGAGTGCATTTGGTGGCATTTCATCCACATCCATTGCTTGTGGAGATTTGGGTGGCTCTGACACAGTCTTCCTAGGGTCATCAACTGGGGTGTCCACTGCAACCTCTAGAGGAGGGAGCTTTGTGAGCCAGTGCCCCAGCTGTGCCTGCAGCTCTGACATGGTTTGCATGACCTCTTCGACTGGGAACTTTTGAGCGCCTTCTGCAGGCAAGCCAGAACCTGGCACACATCTGTCAGGTGGTTCTGGGATTGACCTACCTGCCTTACCAGCAGCTTTCAAACAGGCTGCCCACTTGAAGCACCTGTCCCTGAAATCTTTCACTGGCATGTCTTCAGTGCTTTCAAGCCAATCAGGGATTGGCATACCAGCCAACTTCAATTTGTGTTTGAGGTTCCTTCTGATCTGGCTTCTGTACCCTCGATTGTCATATGGGTTGTTAATGCTCAGCACACTGGCCAAGATATGCAACACTGTGGCCATTGCACTTTCACTGCCTTCTGCAGGCAAGGAGTTTGACCCCATAGAGGCACTGCCTTGTGCAGGCTGGGTGCCTGAGCTCTGGGAGTTTGCTCCCCACATGTGTTCTGGCAACTCTTCCTCTTCTTCTGGAATGCCAGGCATGCGTCGCCTCGGCTTTTTCTGTTTGCCTTCGGCAGGCAAGGGGCTTGCTCCCATTGTTGGAGGGAACCTGTGAGGCTTGGGGGAACCTCAACCAACCTGACCCCTTCATTGTGGCCAAGCCTAGTACTGGGTTGCCCAGGCCTGGGAGGCCTGTGTCTGGGGGAGGTGAAGGGCTTGTGTGGTGAGGAGCACTGTGGCCTTCTCCAGGCAGGCAGGTTGCTGTCATCCATCTTGCTGCCACTGCCATTGTTGAGGCTGTGGGCTGCTCCATCCATCTCCAGACCAACCCTGTCCATGCCATTGGTGGCCATCTGCAGGCCAGCCTTGTCCAGGCAAGTCTTCTTCCCTGTGCCACTCACCTGTCCACTCATCTAGATACCAGTAGCTGCCCCTCCACCAAGTCCTGGGGCCCCATGCCACCACACTGGCCAAAAAAAGAAAAGGCCAAAACCACATGCCTTCTCCAGGCAAGCCTTCCAGGCAAAACAGGAGAAGCAAGGTGGGGTCGAGCTTGAGCTGTCAAAACGGCTGCAGGACAACATAGACTTAAGAAATTTTGGCCTCCTGGTAAGCCAAAATTCCAAACAAATACCCTTAGGGGCCACATAAACATAAATTATCTGCACATGTGTATGTATATATATATATACTGTATATGTATATTGGTGTGTGTGTGTTTTGATTAAAATTACAATTGTAGTGCAGGTCTATTAAAGTTTATGTTGCGCAAAAAAAAAGGAACTTTCAACCATATAAAAGAGTCTAGCTTAGCCCTAGCCCCAACCCTAGAGCATCTACCCATAGGACCCCAAGCCCAGAAACAAGACTGTGCAACACCAATCACAACCACCAACCCAACACCACCTTAAGGCTCCTTTTGCTCCTTTTCACTTGCAAAAAGGTCTGTGCACCAGTTTTGGTGCCATGCCTGTAGCTCTCATGCCTTCAGCAGGCAAGCTTTTCAGCCCAAAAAAACTTGTTTGCTGCTCTGCTGTCTACTCAACATCCATGGCACCCTCCAGCAAATTGTTTTTCATTGCCACCGCCTGGGCCTTATCCAGGCCAGCCCCCTGAGCAAAACCCATGAGCTGGTCGGCCAAGGCAGCATGGTCACAGTGGCCACCTTGAACATTCACCAACAAGTAGCACTTGGAAGCCATAGTTTTCTTTGCCTGAATGTAAGATTTGTCCTTGGCCTTTGTTGGCTTCAGAAAGCCAAAAGACAATGACTCAACCCAGGAACTCTTGGCCTTGGCCTTGAAAACCTTTTTCTTTAAAGGCTTCTTGGCAATGGCCTTCTTCAGGCCAGCAGCCTTGGCTGCAGCAGGCTTTTTGAAGGGTGCCACCACAGCCACAGGCAAAGACAAAACAGCAGAAGAGCTACAGGAAGATTGCAGGGTGATCACACTTGCCTGTGTGGGCATGACCTCCTCATCTGCTTCTTCCACTTCAGCAGGTGGTGCCTTGTGCAGGCAAGGCTTTTCACCCATGGGCTGATCTGCCTGAACAGGCAAGGTGGCACCACCAGCACTGGAACTTGAAGCTCCGCTCCCACCATGCAAGGCAACCAAGAGCCCTTTGCACCACTCAGGCATCAATGACCCTGTCTTCATATTTCGACCTTTTCTGCCCACATACCTTTTCACATCTCTGGCTTTGTTCACCAGAGCATCCACACAGCTTTTGGCGCTCCTGGGGAAAGCCTTGAAAACTGCTTTCCTTTCCATCTCTTTGCTCATCCCACCACACACCACAAACCAGCCATGGAGAAAATTTGAGTGTTTTTCTCCTACTTCCTCCTCTGCTCCAAGAAACATCTCTTCTGTGACGCCATGGGGAAAATTTGCTTTCAGCACATGGATCGCTTTCAATGTGACATCCTCTGCAGGCTTTGTCGAAGCAGAGCCACCCTGGACATCCTTGGCTTTCTGTGAAGTAATTACCTTCATCTCTGTGCCTCTCTGCAGGCAAGCCTTGCACAGGCAAGAGCTGCAAAACTAAGATAGCTTGAGCCACAGTGCTGCCACATAATTTAAAAATTCAAATCACCACAAAAGTTTGAAGTGGAGCAAGAATCTGTTCCCAATTATGTAAAAATTTTTAAGGTAGATACAGAAGACTGCACTCACAGTTCAAGGCAGTTTCAATGTGATGCATCATTTCTGCAAATACAATGAAATTTTAGAAGCTCAAAAATTGAGCTTCCAGCAGCTCAAAAATTGAGCTTCCAAGAAGCTCAGTTTTTGAGCTTCCTCAAGTTTAAAGCACAAAAAGTGGAGAAGCTCAAATTCAAAGCTGCCAGCTCAAAAAAATAGCTTCCAAAAATTGAGCTTCTAAAAACAAGCTTCTCGGAAGATCAGGGACTGCAGTGGACCATCCACCTGCCCATCTGCGTCGAAGGCAACCTCGGCAACCTATGTGGTCCCTGGCTCAACGCCACTGCTCATCGGAAGGCCGATTCTCAAGGCCCTCAAGATCCACCTCAACTACATCGAGGACATGATGAAAGTGAATGAAGGGGACTGGAAGCCCATCACCATGGGCTCACGGAAAGAACATCTCCTGAAGCTGGATGATGGCCTCACGGCCGACAAGATTGCAGGTCCCTACGCCTTCGACTATGTCCTTGAGGAGACCTACGACACATGGACACAACGACAAGACAACAAGACAGGGCACAATCCTGAGCACTACACTCTCTGGCACTACCTGGAACTCACAGGACAACCACCGCCAGACCTCCAACCGGAGGAAGCACTGCACGGCGTTGACCAAGCAGAACCTCAGGAAACAGCAAGCGAATGCAATGAGACAACAGACCCATCCGATATGGATGATGATGACACCACACACCGACGTGCACTGACCGACAAACTGGTCCGCACCTTGAGGCTACATCAACAACAACAACAACAAGCCCTGCACCGCAAGGCAACAACAGATGAAGTCCTAGCAGCACATGCCACCCGGAAGATGCAGTTCTGGGAAATCTACTCTGGCAACGCCAACCTGGCGACCGCCATGGCCAAGAAGGGCTACCAGGTCAAGACATTTGACCTCCTGAATGGGTGGGACTTCACGAAACCCAGCCATCAGCGTGACTTCATCCACCTCTTCTACCATGCAGCACCAGAAGTCATCTGGATTGCACCTCCGTGCACCAAATGGTCTCCCATCCAACGACTCAACATCAAAACGGAGGCCGACAGAGAGCGACTCGAAGCACAACAAGAACATGAGGAAGGAACCCACCTCAGATTCAGCAAAACCATCCACAACAAACAACGCAAACAGCAACGTGTCTCACTCTTTGAACACCCCAGGTACGCGCAGTCCTGGGAAACACAGACCCTCCAACAACTTGAGGGATACGATGCCCACATTGACCAACGCCAGTATGGAGCCACTATGCCTGACCACGACGGCATTGAGCAGTACATCAGGAAGCCAACACGGCTCCGAGTGACCCATGAGCTCCTAGCAGAACACCTTGAGCGCATCTGCGCAGATGATCACTACCACCTCCCTTTGGAGGGTAGCTCACCGAACATCGGCAACAGAGCAGCAGCAGCTGGCAGTTACCACCCAATGATGTGTGAACAATGGTCAAACATCCTACACGACTTCATGCAGCACGAGTTCTGGCCCGACACAACAACAGAGGCAATACAAGCAACAGCAGAAGCGGCAGCTGCAGAACAGACCGGCGCACAGGTGGTCCCGTTCATCGAACAAGATGACGATCAGATTGACACCAACACAGGCATTCTCACCAGACTGCAAGAGACACAGCTTGCAGCAGCACGACGAACAGTACAACGCCTACACCGGAACCTTGGACATCCGACCAACCTGGAACTTGTGAAAGTCCTGAAGACAAAGAATGCCAGCGCCAGCATCCTGCTAGCCGCCAAGGAACACACATGCCAGCAATGTGATGCCCACCGAGCACCAGCACAAGTGGCCAAAAGCACCCTACGCACTGGCGGCAGCTTCAATACCAGAGTCCAAGCAGACACCGTTTGGATCCACCCACCACGACAGCATGGACGAGACAAGCCACCGCCGATCCCAGTTCTGTCCATTGTGGACACAATGACCAAGTTCATGGCCGCCCGAATCCTTTCCAGAGAGCAGTCAGAACACCTCATACAAGCCTTTGAACGTGGCTGGACTCGATTCTTTGGTCCTCCAGCCATCCTCCAGCTCGATGATCACAGAGGCTGGGCCTCAGAAGCTCTCAGGACGTGGGCCAGCGACCATGGAACAGAACTTGAGATCGCCCCAGGCCAAGCGCATACCAGACTGAGCGTAGTCGAAAGACGACACCAAGTCTTGAGACGAGGCATTGAACTTTTCCTAGCACATCAACCCGAGGTCAACATGACCATCCAAGACCAGATCGCCCGCTCACTCTGCTATGTCGTGCCCCAGATCAACAACACTCCCAACGTGCAAGGCTTCAGTGCCACACAATGGGCAATGGGTATGCAACCTCGCGTACCAGCAATTGCGACGCCAAGTGAAGCCATGGAACAGAAGCTGCACCAAGCGGCTATCGCCGTGATTGAGGCCGACAATGATGCCCGACTGCGACGCGCCTTGTTGCGCCAGCGCCAGGCCATCCAGTACCACTACTCCACCGGCCAACGCGTCTACTATTGGCGAGACGCACCAGGTAGAGCAGGACCCAAACTACGATGGAAGGGCCCTGCAGTTGTTGTGATGACAGAACCCGGTCGCACAGGACCAACAACTGTCCAGCGAACACTTGCGACCAGACCTCAACCACAACGACGAGACAGAGCCAACACAAAGAGCCAAGCAAGCACTGGACCAGATCCGTGGCCGCAGCACAACACTCTACACGGACCTCACCAAGACAAACAAGCGCAAGCGCGCTGAAGTGGTCACCGAAGATGAAGATGACATCATGGAACCAATGGCTGACGCCATCGCTGACACTCCAGCTCCAGCAGAGCCTGATGATCACTGGGACGTCAAAGAAGATGGTCTCACTTGGACTGGTGTCCATGTTCGACCACGGCAGACACTCTATGTACCTATAGTATCCAACCGATGAACACGCCCCATGGCGCGACTTCCAAGATGCAAGAACCACTACGACCCGACGCCCTGATCAGCCCTACAGCAACCGCACCGTGATGCGAGATGACTGGCGACTCCCAAATGCCAACAGGGGCATGCCTTTCCACTGGACCGGAACCACAACCTTCGTTCTGAGGACAGACCGCCGACAACCAGCCCCTGCGATGACCACGCCACCGATTGGTGAAGCAACAGGTGATCACCAACCAATGGGTCAAGATCCTGCAACAAGCCACCCGACTGTCAGTCAACAAGACGGTAC